GGAGGGGGGAGGGGGAGGGCCAGCCACGCCCCCTCCCAGCGCCCACAATCGCGCTGCTCCCGCCAGGCTAAGTGCAGGGACGCACTGCGATCCAGAACGTCCAGACTGGAGCCGGGCCTGGCTGACGACCGAGGGGGAGCGGGAGGAGACCCCTTCCGTTCCTCCAGGGCTGGACCCGAGGTGCCCCCTCACACTCCAACCACAGAGCTCAGGGCCAGGAGCTAGGCCGGGCTAGCTATGCAGAGGCCCCTCTGGAGGACCCTCCTTCTCCAGACCCGGTGGGGGGCTCAGGAAAGGGGGGTGGCATCAAGGTGTGTGCTTACACTTGCTGACTTGCAGTGAAGAGGTGAGAGTGGGGCCCAGGAAATGAGGATGGAACGTGGAGAGCCCCCCACAGGCACACCTGTGTGTCTATACACCCGTCCTAGGCAAGGCAGACCTGAGGTGGCTCCCCACCCCCAGTCCAAATAGACTCCCACAGACCAGAAAGGGGGCTCTGGGTCTCCAGCCAAATCCCCCCGAAGAGTCTGAAAGCTGAGGTCTGAGTGTCCCCAGAATCTCGGCTTTTAGCCCAGAGAGGTGTCTGTTCTGTCACCCCCATCTTGCCTGCATCCCAGGCTGGCTCAGCCTGGCTCCTGTGGGCTCCTTTGGGAACTGGGATAGGAAGGGCATGTGGTGTGGAAGCACTCGCAGCCTGTGCCAGGCGGTGCTCCCCAAAGCTCTTCCACTGGAGCCCCCCTTCAGGCGCCCTAACCTCGGCCACAGCCTCTCCACTAAGTGAAACCCCAAAGGCACAGGCTCCACTCAGCAGGTCACCATTGGTGACGGTGAGTGTTCAGGCCCTGTCCACACCCCTCCCAGACCAGTGCACACTGGACAGAGTGGGCTAGTGGGTCCCGCAGGACGGAGAGGCCCGGAGCCCCACCTCCCAGCTGACCCAGGCAGGCCCAGGGACTCCCCACCTCACCGCTTCCAGGGGCGCTGATCCCACTGGAGACATCGCCTTGTGGCCTTTGGAGCCTGACCTGGCCTCCCCGCTCAGTGCTGTCTGCTGACCCGGACGTTGGGTGGGGCCAGTTGTGCAGGGCCTGGCTGTGCTCAACCTGGGCCAGGGATGGACTCCAGCGAGGCCCCTTTTTCTTTCTCTAGAAGTTCATTTCCCAGAGGTGTGGAATGCCTTCCTCCTCCTCCACCTCTCCCCCAGGTTCATCAGCAGAGGTGAGAGTGCCGGGCAGGGGCGAGGGAAGACGCAGAGGCAGCCAGTTAGCTTTGCATCAGCGTTTATTATGGGCCCCTTGGCCAGGGACTCGCCGGTGGTGGTTCTTAGCGCTGCCCTCCCAGCCCCTCCTCGCCCCCCCGAAGGCGCAGATTCATCTGCACGGTGCAGTGGGGCGTGAGGTCGTACTCCCCCAGCTGCTTCTCGTCATCCAGGGGCTGCCCCTGGAAACTCAGCCAGAACTGGTCGACGTTCGTGCTCTCCCGTTCAGCCACCTGCTCCTTGAGTCTGGCCACCTTCTGCGTCAGCTGGACCTCGTAGGCTCGGTTGTTGCCCCTGTCGTTCCTCACCAGGATGCTCAGGGGCCTGTCGCAGCTCTGCACCACCAGCACGACCTCGCTGCCAGAGCGCAGGCCCTGGTGGGCCAGGGGAACCCCGTCCTGCAGCACTTCATTGCTCCCCTGGACCAGCAGGCGCTGCCGGAAGGCAGGCACTTGGATCTTCTGGGTGATCAGCTGCTTCAGTTCCGACAACAGCATGGAGTCCCTCATGGGCACTTGGAACTCGTTGCTCAGCATCTTCACCTTCAGGTACCCGCCCTGTGGGCATCAACAGAGCTCAGAGACCCCGGCACCACTACACGCATGACCGTGGTCGTAGGGCAAGCTCCTAGGGCCCTGGACCCTGCTCCCCATTCTGTGTCCTCTCCATCCACCAGGACCTCCAGTGCAGGAGACAGAAGCACAAGGGGGCATTTCTAGAGGAACGGCCAGCCTCCCATGACCATCTACTTGGTCTCCCTTCATTAGCTAAGATGTCCCCCCAGGGACCTCAGAAGCAGCCACTGGGCAGAACCCACCTTCCAAGTCCCAGACCCTGGTGTCAGCAGGAGCCCTGGTGTCAGACTTAGGAACCTGGGAACTCTAGCAGCTCCGCTTGCCTGGCACACAGGGAGGGAGAGGGTAATGGACTGGTGCCCAGCCCACCTGTCCAGCCCGTCACCCGCCTCACCATGGCTGTGGGCTCTGATGCCGGGTCCTCCACAGGTCGTGAGACGACGACGATGAGGATGAGTGCACTGTCTCAGCTCCAGCTCCCTCTCCGCAGGCCCTGGCAGCTCACCCCTTTTCTGAGC